CCAGTAATAGGTTATAGATATTAATAGAATATAATAATTATATCAGTATGTCTAGTTTTCAAATGCACTGTGAATGTGCAGATATAATCTTGGGGCATACCGTTAAACATATAGGGGAACTTTAAATATCCTTTAATTATACTTTTAATATGTATTACGTAATATACCAAGGACAGGTAAATAATAAGCTGTATAAGATCATCATCAGAAATATACTCCTGTTAAAGTCCCTTCACCAGAGATTCCCAATCAGGGTGCCACGAAATTATTTGTAATATATTTTTTAAAAAAAAACCATTTCATGAAAAATCTGTGAGTAATAAAATAGACTATTATATAAAATCTATTGTATTACATAATACGTAATACAATAGGTTTTAAAAATATATTATATTTTGTAGAAATATTACGATGTTCAGTCTGTTTTTATGTTCATACCGGTTAACCAGTTAGGTTATGTTCGTATACGAAACATATTTCAGTCGTCTCCTAGATATTTTATAATTTTATATAATTACATTTTAGCGAAAATAATCGACAAATTTATTACTAAAAAACGAAAATTAGATTAAGATGAAATTTCATCTAACCTTAATATTGAGTCAACATCAGGTGAATTAAATCAAAGTAGTTCTAGTTCTACTGGTTTAAATAAAATACGTTTATATAACATTAGTTATTTAGCTATGGGATTTACTTGGTATGGAAATTAAAATTGTCCTCACTCAACCACATTACATGGTAAATGGAGTGAAATTATCTAACGCAGCTATGATTCCAAGTAAGTTGAACCGTTATTTATTAAAAAAACATAATCATTTAGTTAATAAAAATATTAACTACTTCAAACATCTAAAAAGTTCACAAAATAAAGAATCAGTAAGTTTTGTGGAAAAGGTAACTATTCCTAATAATGCTCTCGAAGCTAGTTATAAAGTGACAGAATTAATAGATGAAAATAAAAAAACACATACAATATGTGAATCTTTTATTTTTCCAGCCTGTTCAGAAATAGTACGCATTATATTTAGTAGTGAGGCTGAAGCTGAAATACAAAAAATAACTCTTTCCTATAATATTATTTGCAGACAGGTCTAAAGTATATCAGAAGATATAGAAAAAAATATTGGAGGAAAAATTAAAGTTTCAAATGGTTTTTGTCTTTAAATTGACGAATCCACTGACATACGTGGTAAATGTTATTTAATTGGGTTTATTCGTTTTATTAATAATGATAATATTATAGAACAATTTTTTTGTTGCAAAGAAATGAAAGAAACGACAACTGGTCTTGATGATTTTAATATTATTGATTTTTATCTTAAATTATTAAATTTATCATGGGAAAATTGTTTTGGTATATGCACTGATGGTGCTCCTAGTATGATTGGTTCTATAAAAGGTTTTGTTTCATTAGCAAAAAATTGTATTAAAAATATACTTACAACTCACTATTTTCTTCATAGAGAAGCTTTAGTAGAGAAAACTATCGGTCCTTAGTTAAGAAATGTTCTTGATTATGTGGTAAAAATGGTAAATTTCATTAAAATGATACTATTAAAATTACGACTTTTTTCTTTATTATATGAAGCAATGGAATCACAATCTATTAAACTTATTTTACATACAGAAGTACGATGGCTATCTCGTGGTAAAGTTTTGACCAGAGAACATGAGATAAAAAATTAACTTATGGTGTTTTTTAATTTTGAAAATGTACCCAAATTTTGTGAGTTATTGACAAATGAAAAATGGTTGGAAAAATTATCATACTTATCAGACATATTTTCATACTTAAATCAAATTAATTCAAGCATGCAAAGGCCAAATGAAAATATATCAACATCATGTAGTAAGTTATATACTCTTAAAGATAAATTAAAAATATGGAAAAACATGTGCAAAAAAATCAATTTGAGATGTTTCCTTCCTTATTTATTTTTATGACACAAGAAAGTTCTGAAGTTACGACATTTGTGATTGAGCATTTAACTACCTTAGGAAAAAGTATAGACAAGTATTTTCCTGATTTAGATATTTCTGTGTATGATTAGTTAAATGACCCATTTGATAAAAATATAAGTTTAAGGCGGTTGAAAGTAGACCGTTTTTAAGGGGTTGAGTATAGGCAATATGTTATATTCATTGGGAATGCTGTGTGGTGTGTAGTAACTGATCATTATTGTGCGTGAGTTCCCCGAACATGTAATTATTATGTTTTATCAGTAAATACTCAACAATAATTTTACTACCGTCACAGCCCGCATTGTATTGTATCCAGTAGCGTATTTTCAAATTTTTGTATGAGGGGGGTCTAAATATTAAGTACCTAAAGTTTATAATATAAAAAAACACACACGAGTTATGATGTAATAATTATATTATTTATATTATATTATCTATATTTCACTATATATCATGTATTTCATTTTGAGTCAATACTTTTTTGACGTAATTGAAAATATCGTGTCTATTTATATGGGACGTGGACGACGTAGGGATATCAGTATCTGATCCTGAAACTACTGAACCTGTAATATTTTGTATATTTTCAACTTTTTGAGGTTTGAAAAAAGACTGAATATTGGGTTGCTTTTTAGAAATCATAATTGTGATCTATTTAGAATAATATATAAAATACATTAATACTACTTGTATACTTAGTGTATACAAGCATTGTAAATTTGGAAGTATAAAAATTTGAGTAGTGCATCAAATAAAAATTAGATCATTTTAATATTTTCATTTTACACGTTACATCAAACAACAATATTTGTAAATTAAATTTGAAATTATAAATTAGCGATTACCTCACGTCCTTACTATCTTGTTAAAGGTTTCGGTGTTCGTGTGGCGAATTAAGGAATTAAGCAAATATTATGTCAATGCCGTCAATAACAAACAGCAAATTATTACGGACGACAAACGCACTACGCAGAATACCTATTACAATGTCAATAGTTGGCGTACCTACTAATATAATCATATATTATGTTACATCGTTATCGTCGTTGTTGCCGTCGTCGGATTCGTTATCATCGTTAGAGGGCGACGACGCAACAAAAATAACTAAAAGTTAAATCCAAGTTATTTATACAATTAATATTGTAAATTTTTTTTTTTATTATAGAAACATTAAATACCCATAATATAAAATTAAAATTCTCTTTCTCGGTACCTACGTACCAAGTTATTTATGACTTTTTAAATTTTTTTCTGGGGGTGGTCAAGACCCAGGACTCCCCTCCCATAAATGTGTCACTGATTGTATCCTTGTCCAGTATTTACAACTGCTGTAACCACTTCTGTATTTATGCACACCGACGATGAATTATTACATTCAGTTGTTATGACTTCTAATTTGTTGTACATTAAATTAATTATTATATATTATACATCATTATTTTTTGTTATTTTGGAATAAAAATCTTTTTTTTTTCATTTATTAAAGTAAAATATTTAAATGAGCAACCAAAAAGTGAGTGGTTTATTTTATGAATCGAATCAAATAAATGATTTATATTAACAATACGTCTACCGCCACAAATTAACCTAGTGAAAAAAATTAGAAAAGTATATTATATGATATGCAGTCTTGTAAAGTATTTGAATACTTTTTAACTGTATTTTTATCAAAATTTAAATACTTGTATTAAAATACCATAAAGTCCGTTTTATTTATTTTAATTTATTATTTTTCAAAAAATATTGGCATCAATAAAAATAATATTGTTTTCGTTGAAAACTAATATTATGTTTTTATATAGTAAAAGTAGGTAATAACAATGTTACCACCATAGGCGGATGTTGGAGGAGACTTGGGGGCTTAAGCCTCCCCAGAATGTAAACGACAAAATAAAAATTATGTGTTTCAATTTATTATTATATTTTTTATTTTATTTTGTTGAGATACGAGAATGGTCTGGAATATTCAAGGCTTATCGTTGTTGGGAAAATCATATTTTGTAGGTATATATTAATAATCGCGAATATTTGAATATTTTAATTCAGTCTTGAAGAAGAAGAAGAGCTCGCTGAAATACGAAACCATTGAACTCTTTTATCAAAATACAAAAATGATCCATTAAATTAATTTTAGATTTGCGTTGAAAAAATTCATGATAGAATTGGCAAAAACGCTCTAAAAATATTACTACAGTTTTCGACGTTATATTTATGTGAATAAGGATTTTACACTCTTATAAACATAAAATCAAATAAACGAATGAAAATGGAGTTCACCGAAGAAGAAATGAGAGTATGTCTTTCAACTATTCGACCACAAATAAAAGATTTGTGTAAAAAAAATTAAGTCCAAGTGTCATATTATTTTCATAAGTTCCCTAATTTTAAATTAATATTGTTAATCAAATAATAAATAAATAATAATTAAAAATAAAAATATATACAATGTAATAATTTGTTTTGTAAAATGTAATATGTGTATAATGTAACTACAGTGGTGGTCAAACGGAGGGGGGATGAGAGGGATAGATCCCCCCATGACCTTTTTTTAAATATTTATAATTCATCCATATTATACATAATATAATATAGGTATTCATCTATTTTCTATTTAAAAAAATAAATATACTGTACTTATTAGTTATTATACAGTCTCTAGGCTCGAATAAAATTAACAGTTCTAACATACGAGTAAAACACTAAAATATTAATTGAAACAAACTTTTTAGATTTTTATCATTTCTTTTAAAGTTTATTTATAAGGATGTATGAAATTTAAATTTAGTACTTAATGATATATTATATAATTATATGAATTGTGTAATTATATTATTTTAGAATTATCTCAATGATTTAACCACTATGGTTGTTCATCGTGAGGTTGTCAATATAACTGTAGACGAAGTACTGGACGAATTTTCAAAATCCTAATAGGACTAATGAAGTAAAATATTTCGCGCCGCCACAGGCTGTTGTTACTGCGCACAAATATAGACCATATAATTAAAAATACATCAAAAAATAAAACAAACCAGTTACACTAGCAATGTTTTCGTTCAAATTGAACGAATATTATTTTCTCAAGAAGTATAATACAATATATATAAATTATTGTTAAGTCTAAACTGGTGCGCGTATTTATATTATGAAAATAATCGTTGTGATAATAAACATGTGATTTTTACGTCCGTTGCGTTTTCATTGCTTCAACGTGTCGAGCATTTGGCGATTGATCCATTCCGAATTGGCAGCCACCGAGGAATATACGCCTGGCACGTTTTCCTCACCGCATCCGATGCCCCAAGAGACGATACCCACCTGGATGTATTTCTTAAGGCTCGACGACGTGTTTGCGTTTTCGGCTGCGGCGCATATCAAAGGTCCACCTCCGTCACCCTGAACAAAAGAGAACGGGTTAAGCTTTACGATCATTGTGATCATTTACGTCCTTTCCCGCGGTATGAAGGTAACAAGACAAATTGCCGGTAGCGATGAACTAACGACCGCGTTTACACGATAACGGTACACTGGTCGTGGTCGCGCCACTGTCGGCGATTACACACGTATCTACGTAGAAAAGTAGTGGCACCCAATGGTTGACGTAGGGGGGCCTTGCACCTTCCACATTGGCAAACAAGTTATGTTTTATTAATTCAACAGTAAATATTGGTAAGTAATTAAGTGTATAACTGAGTGATTGAGTGGATAGAGAGATTACTTTTGATCCAAATTATGAGGTTTTTAAAAATAACATAAAAACTGTAACCAAAATTTGAATTACACAAGTATTATTATAGCAAATAAGGAAATAACTCACTAAAATCATTACTGCATTTAAGACTATGAGCTCCGTCTCTGAAATTAAAACCTGGATTCGCAATTAGTGGTACCTGATGTTCGATAAAAGTACGCAACTATTTTTACTTTTATTTATTCAATGTATTAAATCGTAATCATTAATATAATGCTATAGCATAGCAAAATATATGCTAGATAATTTTTTGTGAAAATATACAAAAATAAACCGAACGCGTAAGTAACGAAATTAAAATGAAATAAACAGCAGTACTGCTAATTGCACTCGGGAAACAACATATCGTGATGGTCGACAATGTCGTGTGAACTACTTACGCTTATGCTTAAGCGCCGACAGTCCACGATAGCGACAGCCGCGATATAATAATTGTCGACTATCCATAGCTCATCGCAGTGGTGTAGCCAGGAATTTTAAATGGGAGGGGCTAAACTTGGGTAAGTTAGGTAAGAAATGTTTTGGGATTTCACCCATAACCCCCACCACTAAATTTAAAAATTTCCATGATTTTAAAATAGTTTCAATAATATTTTTTAAACTATAATTGATAATAATTATAAATTAATGGTGGTCATCTATGGCAGCGTTTCCCAATATTTTTCTCTGCGGACCCCTTAGAGATAATAAAAATACTAAATAATAATACTAAATTGATTGCTTTACTTTTTGAACTAAATGCAGATATTTTTATGATAAATAACGATAAACCAACACGATCAGTCTGCCTCTAAACTTAACTACTTTTCAACGATGACTAATTCGACAATGTATTTCTCATATAGTACGAATATTACATCAGTATTTTAGTTTTTATGGATAGGTACATTGTGTATTTTTAATTTACTTTCGCGGACCCCTTCTGGTATACGTGTGGACCCCAGTTTGGAAAATGCTGATCTACGGTATCATCGCCACGATTTAATATGGTATAAAAACTATAGTGATTATAAAATGTAAGTGTTAGACGAGAGTCACTACAACGTGACTGACACAACGTGAATTGAGAGTTCATGATAACCACCAAAAAGATAGAAGTAAGCACGGTAGAATTAATACGCTTATGTACCATTTACCAATGACAAAAACTCATAATTCATCAACATTTGGTTAATAACAAAGTTTTAATATATTTAATATCAAATGGTAGTAATTGGTTTAGTACATACATCATGCTTGTTAAATATTTAAATATTAGTATTTAAATAACGTATTATTATATTTTGTATTTAAAAATATTTAATTCAAAATTTTCGAATAAGATTTTTAGTTTGGTTTTCCGATTTTGAAGAAATTACCTGTTGTCGACAAGACGAGGTGACGATTATAAATGTTGTTATCGACAAAAAATATTTAAAGATATTATGGGAAAATAATATTTCCCGTTAGCAGTGTTGGGAATAGATAATGCAAAATTTATCTAGAAAAAGATGAAAGATAATATGTCCAAATTCATTTAGATAAACATAAGAGATAAAAAAATTAAAATATCTAGATAAAGATAAAAGATAATTTCATTTTTATCTAGATAAAAAAAAAGATATTTTCAAAAAATGTTATTTGTTAGTCAATATTTCATATTTGTAATAATATATATGAAGATACAATTATAATCATTATTATCAATGGGTACCTAAGTGTTTAATGTTTATTATAGTAATGTAGTGTACCATTAAGCAGTATTTATATATAAAGTACAATATTTAATGATAATAAATCACTAAAATGTGACATAAAAAAAAAATAAAACAATGAAAATTGCTTAGTATCAGAATGAATACAGAATACATAAGAGATTATTTTAGGTTAACAATATTGTTTTCCATATAATCTCAATTTAATGATTTTCATTATTCATTATAAGTAGTTACGACTTTACGGGTTCTAAGAGTGAAGTATTGACGACTATTCAGTATATGAGTTACGTGTGTATACTAAAATCAAATGTATATAATAATAATAACTATACTTGGAACTTCCATGAAAAAATAAGAAATTAAGTTTAAAAATACCAAAGATATTTTTCCGACATGAAAATACATACAAAATGTCATACCAAGAAATAATAATTACTTATTAATAATACACGAATTATAATTATGAATACAAAATCTATATATATATATATAAAAAAAAGTCGGGTTAGTTACAGAATTTATAATTCAAGAACGGCTGGATCGATTTTGATGATCTCTGATTTATTGGATTCGTCTCCATACAAGAATAAAAGTAACTCTAATCTTAGCAAGAATTCAGACAATTATCTAGATAAGTAAACATTTTATCTTAGATAAGTAATTAGATAACTTAGCGTTATTTATCGAGATAAGATAAAAGGTGACAAAAAATCTGTCTAGATAAGTCCCAATACTGCTCGATAGTATCGTAAATCTATTTGGCTATTTATATTTTATAGTATCGTAACACGGCAACCCCCGAATCCTAGTATCCCACATACTTACTCCGACACTCGTTATTCGTTAATAATCGTTAAAATTAATTTATACGTTAGTCACTTGTCAATACTCACTAAAAATGAATGTAATTTTGTCGTAATGTTTTAAGAAATAAAAATCTGACAACAACAAAACTTAAAAAAATGTATTTAAAAATGTTTTCTAAAATATTTTTTGAATATATATATTAGTATTTGTATTTAAATACCTATTAGCAAAGGTATTAAAAATATAAATATTTTAATACTTTTTAATTGAAGTATTTAAATACCTATTTGAAATACTTTTGAAAAGTATTTCTTACAACAATGACACACACGTAAAAACGACCCATAAGAGGGGGGGGGGGGTAGCTGCTTTAGCTCTTCTCCTTTGGCTACGCCACTGGCTCATCAGATGGATATCGTGACAGTGCTATCACGTACTACTACAACAGCTACACATCAGCTACAATCGGTACACGAAGACAGTTACTGCTGTGACTTTAAGCATAGCCATTTACCGTCGTGCAAACGGGCCTTTTAATCCATGTGCCTAAGTATTTCTGTTCGACTTACAGCACATGCATCCTGTTTATTCGCACCTCCGGCGCAAACGAAACTTTTATCCAAGACGAAATGTTGTCCAAGGCGCGTACGTGTCAAATTTTGCTGACACACATTATGTGGCACCATGGACAAATAAACCGCTTTCAGAACGTTTTGATATCGACCTTTTTTATCTGCTTGAAACATGCAATAAAGAAATACGATTGTTAAAAATTATTAAATGTCCATCGAGCGCAGTATCGATTCTTCTTGACTGCGCTTCGAAACATTGTTAATTTATTACTTATATTAATTTTATAACTAATAGGTGTTTATATAACGTGGGATTTCGATTGTTCACGGATAGTTAAAATATTTACAAAAAATACACCCAACAACTTTCAACATCTGAAAATCATTCGGTTGCTTACGCTTTATAAAAAACCGCACTTATGTATTTTGTGAACAACTGCAGTTTTTATTGACGAAGATTTTATACGCGAACCTACTGATCGGTTTCACGATAAAACAAGCAATTATTCATTTTACTGATATTTAGTTAGAGTAATAATAAGGCGAATCTAAGTTGTATACATATAGCCAAGCTTTTCAGTAAATACCTAATTTATAGAATATATTATCAATTGATCGATGGGTATTATTAGATATTAATTTTATTGGACATTTTGTAAGACGTATAGCAGTGGTGTAATTGTGGGGGGCAAGTGCCCCCTCTGACAATTTTTTGAGAAATAAAGGTATAATTTCCCCCCCCCCCCTCCCCCCAGATAAACCAAAAGTACAAATAGCACCTTTTATTAACTAATTAAACTCTTATGGGTATTATTTTACAATATTGGTACCTAGTACCTGCTACTTACAATTTACGTTTATCTAAACCATAAAATGAGTTAAAAGAATTATGTAAAATCAAACAATTAGATATAGTGTATAAAATACATACAATAATAAAATATTTTAACTCGTGAGGGGGAGAGTTGTCAGGGTTTTGATAATAATAAATATATTATATTACCCCTCCTAGATTTTTTCCCAGTTACGCCACTAACGTATAGTATCTAGTTATGTCAACAATATCAATGCATTTTAGATATTTTAATTAACTCGACTGTATTTTATTGCACACCTCTTAAACTTGACACTGTCGATAACCCTTTAAGTGGTTCATTTGATTTAACATGGTTACTATAATTTGTGCTATACTGACCAAATGCATGTTTACCCCATCCAGTCACCACGCATGATTCAGAGTCGTAATTTGATTGTACTGTAGGGTTAGGAATGCATATTGTGTTAACATGCTGCTGGAATGCTACTTCAGAACTGAGTTTGATCAGTGCAACATCATTATGCATAGATCCATTGTTGAAGTTCGGATGAGTAACTATTTCTGAAACACTGATATCTTGATGTCCTTGTTCTGTGTTATTAGATAGTGTATCCCATTCGCCGACGCGCACTTTCAATTCGTTTAATCTCTGTTCTCTATATTTCAACGTAAAAATAAAAGAATCAGATAATTATTGCGGTTTTTGTCGTAAGGACATTGAAAGTGCTCCACTTAACCAATATACGTTATAGGTACCGATTATTTAATATAATTCTGCATAACATATATACCGAAGAATGTTTTTGACTAGGTTTACTACACATTATAAGTGTAAGATATTGTAGTCGCTTTGACTCGTAACAACTCACTTGACACAATGAGCCGCTGTTAAAATGACTTGTGGATGTATCAATGAACCACCGCACAAGTATAAAAAATCATTAGTTTTCATTCCAGTCGATGGGTCTATGTAAGTTTTCATAATAGCGACCATCCACGGGAATTGGCCAAAATGAGTTTTCGAAAAATCTAAATACATGATAAAAAAAACCAATTAATTCATTTTTTTAAATAATTATAATAATCGAATGGGTTTAAAACGACTTATGATTAAATTAATTTTAAAAAAATTATATTAATTTACCCTAATAGGTAAAACCTATCATGACCATAACCTACCATAATCGTGATTAATAATACGAAGGTCGGTTTCATTTTCTTGCGATGGTATGCCTACGCCACAACTGCGTGCATTATTATTATTATTATTATTATTGTTGTTCTGATTATTCTCGTTGATACCACCAATTACAGTATGGTTCTTATTGCAACACACTTGGTCGTAGCTGCAATTTCCTGCACTAGAAAAGAAGAGAAAAAACTAATTTGTGATTTTTATATTCATATTTGATGAGTTCTTTATAGACTCTTGTTAATCATACGACAGCTATATTATATATCGCCATGTAAGCGTCAACATATGCGTAGCAAGACTTCGTGTGGTATGCAAAAATACCTGGTATCATGTCAAGTGTCATGATATCAAGTATCATAAATTCAGGTGTCATAAAAATCATATGTTTTAAAAGTAATTTCTCATAAATGTCATCTGTTATAAATATTTCTAAAATTGTATCAGTAAAAATTGTGTTCATCGAAATTATTTGTGTTATATTTATCAGGTTGAATTAATCTTTTAACCATAGGTATTATTCATTATCGTTTTAATAACATTTTATCTTTAATTTTAAACGTCTAATTACAAACTATGTAACTCAAAAAAAAAAGTATTCATAACATTCGACTACAAAATATATGTAAAATATTAGAATAAAATCCTGAGCATGACAATAATGCATTTTTAAGAGTTATTGCCTTAAATTTAAAATTTTAGATTTACATACATTTTATTCGTCTGGATGAGTTTATTGTTTTTACAACAAGTGAAAGGAGTTTTTTGGCAATGAGAAAAATTAAAATATGGTTATGAACATCTATGCAACAAAATAGATTTAATAAACTTCCAATATTATATATATATATATATATATATATATATATGTATATTTATTATAATATTACTATAACATTATTTTATATGTATATAATACTACAGTACTGAAAATATTTTAAATATAATTTCCAAAAAATATAATAGATTAATACAATTACGATAAACAAGATTAAAAATATTAATTTTAATCCATTTTTTTGGAAAACTCCTTTTTTTATGTTAGTATACATACTATAATTACAAAAACTCTTTTGATTAATTAAACTCAGACTTTCTCAGCCTACATCTACAGCTACAAACGTTATATAATTATTTTCTAAGCATGGTGTCAAAATATATATTTATATAGACATAACAATACAAATAACAAACCAATTTATAATATAACATTTGATTTTATAAAAGAATATTATGAGTTAGGTGTGTTTGCTATTTTTTATTTTATACCAAATACTGAAATGAAGTCCCCTGATATTTCACAGGATCTCCGCCTATGAGCTTGTGATTTTTGAACATAAACTTTTCTTTTATATTTTATAATTAAAATTGTATAGTTAGGAAAATATTATAAATTTCTATCTATATTGGTTCTCGCGTGGTTTTTACAAATGCCATAATTACCTGACATTATAAGTAGGTTGCACACTGTAATCGTCAATTAAACACTGGTTTTTCGGTACACATGTGCACTGTTGTTGATCAACACCATTGTCTAGTGAAATATCGTTCGACTGAAGTCCCGATGCTGTAAGAGTTTCACCAATCGTATCATTTGACTTATTACGGCAACATATCCATTCCTTTAAACAGCCAGCAGAAGTGCTATACAAAAATAATAATGTGACTCGATTAGTATAATTTTATAAATAATCACTTGATCATCATAATTTTTATTAATAAATACGATTTAAAAGCATATTGATTTTATATAACCCACAACACTGCAACCTGCAATAGTAACTATATTAAATGCATGTGCCTAAATTATTAATAATTATTACACCTTTGTAGATAATGTTACTACTTATAAGTAGTATTTTTATACATTTATAATGATTTTTATACATTTACATATTTATTCTAATTGGTCGTATGTTAAGTTATCACAAAATTCGTTTCATAGCATAATGATTAACAAAATTAAGCTTTTTTAGATAGATGCATATTTTTGCATATTTCGACATAAATCCATTTTTTTTAAGGGCTTTATTTCTTTTAGTGTATACTTCGATGTCTTTTTTGTTTTTTCTTTAAAAATGTTTGAAATGTATACAAGATATTGATTACAATATCTTGTATATATTTCATTATAAGGGATAAATCTATTTTGAAAAATTTAGAATAGTATTATCAAAAAAACGAAGGCTACAACTCACTTACTAATAATATTAGTAAATATTTATTTTATTTATATTATATTAAAATTTTAAATGGTAAAAGTGAATCAATTTCATTCAGCAACGATTTATCTCCAAATAATATGATATTTTTTAAATATGCACCTATTACTTCTGAGGACATGAAAGATCATTTTCAAGATATAAAAATTTGTTGACTGACAAATGTCGATTGAAAATATAGCTAAAATTATTGTAATAAAGTGCAATTCATATTTAGGTGAGAAAATTTGTATTTTTTTCACTATCGCTCGATAAATGTTCTATTGCTCTAAAAACTGTACCTTATCTTATCTAATCCAAATAAAATTATACTCATAGTCATGGTTAATGGTTCTTGGTCTTGGTCATGGTTAATGACTATTAACCCGTAGTAGAAGGTATCTCTATCTGGTTTTGATTTCTTAACGTAACGAAAATTGTATGCATTTTTTCTTTTTGAAAAATCGGAACTTTAATTTTAAAAAATTTTTAGAATTTCGCTCATTAGGCCTGCCGGCTCCACTCACCAACTCGAGTGCCACTACGTGGCACTTTCGGGGGAATGGGGCTTCGCTCCTAGGGGAATTATAGTCTAAGTCTAATCTAGTTTTTGTACAAACCTTGATACTGTTGCAAATGGGATTATGCTTTGTATATGAACCTAAAATCTCACTGAGAGAGTAAATTACATATTTAGACCACAAATACAAGGTGTTACACTATAACTAAACGACAATTCACAAAGTTATAATTTTATAACACGCAATAACGTAAATACGATTTTAAAAATAACAAAAAAAAAAAAAAAATAGTGGTAATGAATTAACGGAAAAGGTCCGAAAATTTTTTTTAGGATACATTTTTCATATTAATTGATTCCTTATTTTCTTGAAGATCAAAATTCCATACAAAATTATTTTGGCAAATCAATTCCTTAAAAAGAAGAAAAAAAGTAATTTTATTCCGGGTTCTATAATTTTAAATGTATTTTTTAATGTATTATTTTAATTAAATGTTAAAAAAAAGGAAACATTTTTTTATTTGGTAAATGTTGAGTGCATATTTGGTTGATTTTTATTGAAAATAAATCCGCGTTCTATTATACAGTACGATATTTCATAAAATGATATACCGTAAACATTTTGATTGTGTTATTTTACTACTTACTTATTACTTATTACTATACTTATTACTCTTGAATAATCAGATTTTTATTTATCAGTCAGCAGTGCTGTCTTGAGATAATTAAGGGAGCCTCAAAATTACAAAAATTACATTATATTTATAAAATATCATAATTTTACATTTTTTTCTTCTTTTTTTTTTAATTAAGTTTATTAATAATTAATAATAATACTTGATGTATGTTCGAGCACCCTCCAAAATGTTGTAAATGGGGCTCAACAATTTAAGTCTAAGAGAAAGGAGCCTGTATTTTAACTGATGCTGCTTAAATTAAATGTGTTTTATTCTAAAATATTTGGTAAAAAATAAATGATGGTTCGTAATAGAAAAAACAAAATTAAATTTTCTAAATGTTCGTGCAAAAACTTATTATGAAAATATAACAGTTACAATTGACTTTTCTCATACTTAATCGCAATTGTATTAACTTTATATTTAACAGATGAAAAATTTTTAATTCGAAACCGGTCATACTTTACAGTTATAATAATACTCCAGGTTAAGCATTTATTAATTTTTATATATATACTATTTTTTTATTTACTTAGTTTATTATTATTATTTTTTTATTTACTTTGAAAATTTCTATAGTGTGTTCAACATTAAATATTTGAGTTTGAACACTATAGATATTTTCAATATCATAGATATTTAAATAATAAATGTATACTTATGTAATTCAATGTGGCTCCAAGAAAAAATTGTTGTTGGTTAAAACACTAGATTAATATATTAATTCTCGAGTCCTTGGGTTATCCGTGAGATCGAATTATTTAAAGGTGATCAGCGTCTCATTCATAAATACTATTTATTATAACGTTTATAATTATTTTATGATATAAAAAAGATTTACACACTATGTACCCATTAAATAATTTTAAACGAGAAAATTAAACTAAAGCAATTTAAAATTACTCATAAATGTATGATATCTTCTTATGAATGCAAATAATTCTAACAACAGTTGCTTTTATACTAAATTTAAATAAATGCTCTTTATAATTATGTATCCTTAAATTAAATCATTATTTACTATTAATTAATAAAGAATACTTATAATAAATATTAAAGGAAATATTGAATTATTCAATATAATACTAATATATTATATATAATATTCAATATATAATTAAATTTTATCAATACACACCAAATTATTTTTAATGTAATTTGTGTAAATTTGTTTACACAGTATAAAGTTCAATAATGTTCATTAAAGATGGCAATAAAAATATACGTTTTTTATACTATTTACATTACATTTATATATATACAGTACTCTTTACCTGTACATCTGATTAGTACCTACATATCTACAAACAGGCATCACTACTAGAATATTATGCTAAAATAAATTAACACACATTTCAATATTCTAATTGATTTAGGTACTCTAGTGTTAAATACTCAACAATTAATATAATCATATATAATTGTTATTTTATCATCTATACAATCGTTTGGTATTCAGAAAATATTCATTTATAATCCTTTCCTAACCTAATAATACGTTATTTGTAAACATAAAATTCAGATATAAACTTGGTTTCATTGTACAATTGTAAATTCTAATTTAAATTTTAGTTCGTAAATACAATAAATATCAATATTTTATTAATAACTATTTTAGTTGGTCCAGTTAACTTTATCAATCTGCTATTTTTGGAGCCTTAACTAATATATTCAGACTTTAATACTTAATGCACTAGGTGTTGAGTATCAATTTTGAAAATAAAAATAACTGCAATCAACTAGTAATATATAATGGTTAGTTACTGAGACAAAAAATATTCATTCTTGGAAGGATTTTAGTTTGGGCACGCTTGAAATAAATTAAAACAGAAAGACATATAAAAACATATTTATATATAATGTTGTACCTTCAAAATTATAAAAAAAAAATTATTCTATGTTTTTGTTTATTGGATATTAAAAAACACGTTTGAATAATATGATAATGGAAATATCGATAACACAGCGCCTTATTTTTACAATAATAAGTGGTTAGTAAATTATAGATTTGAGATAAATTTCTATGATGTGCTCTTTTCAATTATTCAGTTACCTGCCTTATAAATTTGAAAATTGCGCCCAGTACAATACCTCCTAATATACTTCAAAGCCATTAGTACAGATACATTCTCAATTTTTGGGAAAACTATAAAATTACAACGTACAATTTTTATCTGTGAAACCAAATGATTAAAAAAAATTAATAAATAAATGTACAAACTAAACTAATAAAAAAAATAAAAATCCTATACATATTCAAATACTTATATGTAAAGACCAGATTTATATGCATTTTAAGTTATATAGTACGCATGCTAAATGCACTAAAAAAAGTCAAAATATTCAAGACATGCAAAATAAAATTTCAATTTTTATTAAATTTTATATTTGATTTTAATTTTGCAATGATAATTAATTATTAATTTTATTAAAATTTTCAATTACAATAAGCAAGATACAAATTATGCAATACGGAAATGTAATTTGTTAAATTATAGAAATTATAGAAATAACAAATTGAACAAAATATCCAAATAAATGTTTGTAAGAACATATAAGATGCAAATATTTGATCACCCATTTATAAATAATAATAGTTTATACTTACTGTAGTCGAATACCAGAAAAATAAAAAAAATCGCTTATTTTAAAATTTTGGTTGAAATAATATATCGTCAATAGACACTATTTACAAATTAACTGCTAAATATTATATCAAAATGAAGTGGAAATAACATACAAACTCGTGTAATAATATTATAAGCAAAATATCAATACAAATTTCTTCAAACGTTTGTAAAAAAAAACAATATATGTGGGGACGCTCAGCGCTGATGGGTTAACTTGGCAACAACGTAATTTTTACCAACAATTGTATGAATGTAACAGTGGTTGTAAAAATGTACCTGTTTATGTTGTTTTGAGTATTTTATCAACAAGGTTAGATAAAATAGGTAAAGCCATGTCTCCTCTATAAAACCAACCAACCCAACCAACCTATGGAAGTTTAGTAACCTACACGTACCTACATATAATCTGTCTTTTTGTTAAAATATGTAAAAATATGCAGAACATGCACTAAAGTCGGAATATGCTAAAATATGCAGTACAAAATTTTGATATTTAATCAATCAAGTAAAGATTTATGGACACTCATTGACTGCATGTATATAATGTTGAAAATAGCAACATGCAATTTATGCAAAATTCGGTCTTTACATATATGTATGTACATGAATTATGCATCGGGTATAATAAATCTAGATGATTTAGATCTTAGGCACGATAATTTATACCTCAACAATTTGCATTTATTATAATGATGGGCTTGCGCAATCTTTGTGTTCAGAGTGTACAAATATATACCCCGGAAAGTTCCTACTTCACCATTCACATAATATAATGGTGTTTTATACTTATTTAACTAACCAACGTTTTAGTAGTGTTTTTCAAAAAATATAGTTAGGAAATCATTATTACCACTAACCTCAATATTTCAAAATGATAAAATACAAACTGAAATATAAAATTGTGTTGACAGCAAAAATTATTATTTCATGTTCACAACACATTTAACGACAATACGTATTTGATGCAGAAACATGAACTTCCACTGTTTTTTGCGAACGAAAACTGTACCACACCTAGGTATCCTAGTATAACAGTGTTAGCGTATATACCTAATCCTAGTGTATGGAACAGATACGATCATCAAAAATCCTACTGACGTATTCGAATAAATTACCAATAAGTTATAAACGTAAAATTCTTAATAGTTGCGTTTAATGCGCTACGGTGACGAAAAAATCGATTCGTCACCTAGTAATATATGCAATAAAACATGATATCGTCTTTGGAAAGCCTAAGACTGCAGTTAGTACTTATCGATAGTAAACGTAGTTTTACAGTTGTTTTACATGGTTGGACACGACTTGGACACCACATTTTCGCTCGTATGCATGGTGTCAGTTTCTCTCCCCCCTCTCCCGTACGAGCACAAATTACAATAAATGTATTTAAATTGATTACAATCAGTGGTGCGACGGTAGAATAGTTTATTGTGTGGTTATCGTCATCGTGGTCGTCACCTACCTGAGCGGGATTTTGACCTCGTCACCTTGATCGCATTGGTAGAACGGTACGCATGTGCACGATTCGTCGACCACCGAGTTTGTATTATTGTTGAGATCGACGGCGACGGTTGTGGAGCTCAAAACGATCGCGACGGCTGCTAAGGCGATCATCGGTCGAAACGCAAAACGATCGTTTGCGATGGTACGCGGCATAGTATACATACTTTAATATTGTGTTTGCGTGTTGTAATAATGCGAAAGTTTGATAAAAATTAAATTAAATTAAAAATTGCAAATAGTTATGGAACGATCCGAGTGTAAAACCGTTTGCGCGTATTTTATGCACTATGCAATACACCGATATACCATGTACGAGCGTGCGAAACAATCGACAAAAATCATTATTAAAAACAAATATTTACATTCAACAGGTAGAGAGAGGAGCCGTGACACGACGACCGGTAAAACCACACTGATGATCGTTAACGTACTAACGGACTAACGGACTCTGAATCCATCGACGGCGGTCAAATATATTATAAACCGAGTAGTTTGTTTTTACGATTAACATTGTCTGATGTGGTACTTCACTACTACTACTACTACTACTACTACTACTAATACTATTACGGTCCTACTCGTATATTGGCTAAATCAACTCGATGACCTATAGTCACTAATACGCCGCGGCTAAATCTACATAATATATACGTCCTACGATGGCGTATCTATTCGTTGTGTTCCATTGTATACCGACCGACCAATTATTTTTCCAACAATCGTTCTCTCGGTCAATTCATTAGTATTTGAATAAATAAATATGTTTTTTATTATTATTATTTATTATCTATAATTTCGAGTCATTATATCGCAAATATTTTGCATAACCCTTTTACTAACCTTTTATATCGTGACATGTTATTTTATTCTTGTTGCATAGTGAACATTAATGCATAGTGTACAAGAATATCATTCGATGATCGGTGGTGACAGGTCCGTGGAGAGTAATCAAGGGCCCCAGGCACAAATTAATCAAGGCCCTTCTCCCACGAGGTATTAAACTTGTCACTGACATCCAATGTCTTCTTTTAAAATGAGTATATCAAAGAAATAATATAATCGCAGTCATGGTTATTCCACAGACTAAATGAAAATAATTATTTATAGCCTATGGGCATTGATTTTATAATATACATATAAGTATATTATTTATATTATAAGATGCTATGTAAAAACATTTTTGAAAATCATTAATAGACGAACTCGACCTTCCCAATGCGATGATGATCGCGGGATAGTGCCGGTGTATTAATGGAAAGCAATGGATCAATTAAAATGCAGATTTTACTAACAAGAAATAAATTGGTGGACCGTATAGAAATGTTAATAATATACGAAAACAAAGATTACAATAATGTATGCTGATGTACTAGAGGCCAAGGAGGTGAATATGTACATATAATAAATCATCCTCAGGGTCGCACAGTAAAACATACAAATAATAAAAGAATAAAACAAATGAAAACCGTGTTCGACCTGGACAGTGAAGTGTGACCAATATGTCTGTGATGGCGTGTGCGGATAGTGAACAGAGCTGCGGCAAGGGCGCAAAAGGATGTTCGCTTAGGCAGAACAAAAGGTGACGACGACGATGCACTAACAATGGTATCCGAAAACGTTATCGTACCCGTAAAAGACGGCAGAACGCAATGGCAAACGTGAAGTGAAAGAAATGGTAACGGTTTCACAATATTTCCAGACGAGCGCATGTAACGAACGTAGAAAAAAACGGCAAACGTGTCAATAAAAAATAAAAAATAACAAAACGGTCCGTACCGAAAAAAAAGACGCGTGTAAAAGTAGCGTAATAGCGACGGTACACGTATATGGTAACATCTACGTGCACACCCAGAGTAAAGTCAATCGGTATAGGGGGTGGTGTAGTGACGGAAACAAAACAACAAGAAAATAGCAATGTTAACAAGACACCGGATGTGACTACAAGCAGCCGGTCGTACTGATGTATTTCTAATGGTTGCAACCTTTACCAAACAGGGCCAAGTGGTCATTGATTTCTTCTTGATTTCAGAACCAATCGTAATATTATGGTTTTTTCTTTTCTTTTGCCATGTACTTGTAGTACATAGGATTTTTCAATTCACCAGATCTAAGGTTATTATATATCTCCAACCGTTGCAAGGTTTCTGTGAAGTATTCAATAATAGCTGCCAACTGAAGGTCTTCTCGAGGCATTTGGAGCGGTTTTTTTATCAAATTTCTGGCACACAAGTTTTTATACTGATCTGATATTGAATGGAGAGTCTGAAGTATGAATAGTAACGTAGGTATACATAGTTATCAAAGCTATACAATAAGATTTAAATCAAGATTTGAAAAAGCATTTTGGTTTATGCTCACAAGAAAGGTTTCTTCGTGCATTTTCTTAAAACGTTGTTTTGCCCTATCGATGTCCACTTCTTCACTTATTTGTTGCACTTTCTGTAGTTCGGTCATCAGATAAAATTTATTGACTTGATTCGGAATTATCTGCGAGATATAAACATTTATATTTTATGCTGTGTATTGAATTCCCGACAATATGGGTACACGTTATAATATATATAATTGTATAATATTATAATCATTTTTTGTTGTTCTTTTACTCCTGTCAGTAATAATTTTGAATGCGGTTTTATTCATATTTTTGTTAATGAATATGAATATATATGAGTATATATAGATGGATAGAAATAGTATCTTCAATCACGTGAAGTAACTTTTCATCCAAAAAACATATATTTAGTATTAAAAAGAAGTATACAGTATATAGTAATATTGCTTTTATAATTCGATTATAAATGATGATAATAATAATACGTTGATATTTTAATAGCAATCGGCAAGTGTAACTATATATTTTTAAATCAACGTTTAAACAATTTATTCTTACATTAGGATTTGAATAGGTTTTTTTATTTTCGTTGTACTCATCAGGTTTTTTTTGTATTTCAGAACTGATCTGATGTGGAAGTTGTGATTGCAAACTTTGGTTTTTTCTTGTTTCGGACATTTCTTCGATATGGTTAATAATATCGTATACATTCTTATACCGAGGATTGTTTTCAATGACTTTTGAAATTAATTCCTGAACGTAAAATTCATGTTTTTAAGATATTAATATGTCCAATAATAATTAATTATAATAATAATAATAATTATTATTATTATTATTATTATTATTATTATTATAATTGTTGTATTACACAATATTTGTTAAATACTCAATGGTTTTTACAAATACTCTTAAATCATCGTGATTATCATTTTTATAAGAAAGTGTCAACTCGTATATGTACTTCAAAAGGACGAAGTTTTTCAATACGGGTAGTAGCCAGGTGTTGGATTTTTTTCAATCTGTCAGTAGAATTTCTCAATTGCATAATTTTCTTATGATGATCTTCTTGCTTTCGTATGCTTTCATCGACAGCATTCTTACACTCAGGTATCGTTTCAAAGAGGTGCTGAAAATAGCAAAGCACATATATATAATGATAAAATTTTTCTCCGCATACTACGGTGAATTCCCTTCCGTTTAGGGGACGCAAATAGTAGTGGTGCTTTGTCTCCCACTTCTCCAATCCCAAAACGATTAACGAAACCATAATTAATTACAGTATTACGATTGGTTAATAAAAAAACCATAAAATGCTTTTGCTTTCATTGTTTTTGTAAATCTGAACACTCGAATGTTGAATTAATTATAACGAATTTTATTATGTCATAGCAGTGGTCTCAAATTCAAATTACCGACGGGCTATATATATTTTCGTCATAGGTTCATGGGCAAAACACTTTTTTTTTTTACTCATTTTAATATTCAATCTAAAATAAACAAAATAAATTCAGATAAAATGTATTTCTTTGATTAATTATAAACATGACAAAAATGGACAATGTACTGTGTATTGATTTTTTTTTTATAATTATAATAATTTATTTTTATTATCTAGCAGAAATATACTTGACAACTCTTCTTTTGTACCAAGCTGTCAAAAAATAAAATATTTTATATAACAAAAAAAAAAAAAAAAATAATCAAAATTGTTGAAGAAATAAATATTCATTGCGTGCCACATCGAAATGACTCGTAGGTAGCATATGGTCCGCGGACTGCGTGTTTAAGACCACTGTGTTATAGTTTATGTTTATTTTACAGCTCAGACACACCGTAGGAATAAGGAAAAGTATCATCTTACACATGAAAACTTCTACTTCCTTTTTCATTTTATTTTATTTTATTTATTTTTCATAAATTATGTCATATATTTGACTGTGATTACTTATATTAAAAAACAATACAATTTTATTTATAAAACCATAAAACACTCAAAAGATTGATAATTCATTTTGTATACTCAATTATGATTCCAAACACAATTTTAATTTTGATAATATTTTTGAAATTTGAAAATTCAACTCAACTCATTTGTGAAAAAAATATTTTGAGAACAATTTGAGTTTGTTTATGAATCAGCAGTACAAGTCACCTCCTATTTACCATAGAGCTCACTTTACTGTGTGTCCACCTAATAATTTACAATGATTATTTTAAAGGTGGCAATAGGAAGGAAATATATTCACCAGGAACGGATGCAGAAAAAAATTTCGGGTGGGGGGGGTCGAAAAAATAAGAATAATTACCGTCAGGCCCATATTTAAAAATTCGGCGCAACTGGGCATATTATTTATGCCCCCCCCCCCCCCCCCCGAAAAAAAAAAATAATAATAATATAACACTTATTATTTCGTCTATAATCGAGATTCTTTAATATTCAAATATAACTTATAAATGAAAATCGTTTAATACTTTTTTTAACTAACAAATTAAATAAATTATAACATAATAAAACATACTATTTTATTTTTTTTACTGTTTAATTTTTTTTTCATTAGGTAAATCATTTTTTAAATTAATTTTGCTAAAATATTTTGCCACTCCTGAGACTTGACGTCCCCGAACATGTGCCTACCAGTGCCCCCTCTAAATACAGGCCTGATTACCGTTAATTTGAAATAATTGACTAGGTATTGACTATAGATTAACTATTTTCGATCGTTATCAAATGACCATACAACTCAAAATTTAGGGAAACTGTCAATCATAATGTACCATTGTAAATAATATTATATCGATTACGTATATTTATTTATTTTTATTTACTGATAATAAGCGACTTACAAACACGCATTATTTTTACGAAGTATTGCCATTATGGAATAATAATAATAATAATAATGTTTTAAGTGTCAATAACTTTTAGAACGTTTGGAAAATTACAAATTATTACTAATTCACTTTTCTTAAAAAAACATTTTTTTTTCTAGCATATTTTAATCTTATTTTGAACAATTCATTTTTTTTAAGGTACATAAGATAGAATAACTACGTTTAATTAATCATTCATTCATTTCGGAGGGGGTTTGAACCCCCAAAACCTCCCTGCGTCCGCCACTGATATTCAAGTATATATTGTGCACAAATTCACAACAGAATGTAGTCCCAGACTAGAAAA